TTGGTACAGCTATTAAGTCAATTAAAATTAATTTTTTTAACCGTATTTTCACTATTTCAACAGTCATTTTTGAATTCTTTTCTCACAGATAGAACCCACTTTATCTTTAACGATTAAAAAATTAATTATCAAAATTTCTACCAAATAATCGCTAAGCATTAAAAAAACAAAAAGGGACTATTTGATTCCAATATAAATAAATGGAATGAAAAATGCAGTGGACTGCGGACGTGACAATAAAGTAAAAAACACAATAACTACAGCATAATTATTAACAAATTAAATTATAGTATTCCACTTAGTGATCGTAGCAAATATTCACTCACCTTAAGTTCAGGGCGTCCACCCTACCCCTACCATTCAAAAACTTTTTCAGGCAGCATAAATATGTATCTATCTATGATTATCTGTCGAGAGAGGGAGTGTGTCTAATAAAAACGGTGGAAGCTTTGAGTAAAGAGAGAGAGAGAGAGAGAGAGTGATTGAGGCTGGTCCTTGTCCTAAAAACAAGAGAGAGATTGACTGCAAATGAGAGCTTTTTCTCCTGAAGAGAAAGAAGAAGAGGAAGAAATACGGACAGATAGATATAGAGAGAGAAAGTGAGTTTGTGTGTTTATGGAAGAGGGGGCAATTTAAAGTAAAATTGCAGCATTTGGTCTATCATATACTCAACATACCCTTCTTTTCCAAAGTCCCTTTTGTCTCCCCTTTCTCTCTCTCTTCATTGTCGCCGTAAAAAATATTTTCCGTCCCCGGAGAAGTACACTGGAAAAGTTTACTCACTATTTTTTCTTTTTGGCTCTACATTTTGATTAACAAAAGAATTTCTTTTATTAGCTGAAAAGGAAAGCTGACTCTTTGATCCAGTTTAAGAGTCTTTCTTTTGGGTCAAATCGGAGCTCTGATTATTCTCCGGCAGTATGAATATCAGCTGAGAAACTCTGCCCATTTGTTTAGCTGAATACAAGAACAATAATGAAGACACCGGCCAACGGTGCCGGAGCTCAACCGGCGGCCACATCCACCTCCGACGCAGCTGAAGGTCTCACTTCCCACCCCTTTTCTTTGTCTGCAAATCTATAAATATCTATAAATGTATTATGTATTTATATGACACTATAAGCATGAAAATATTTACTTTTTATTTAATGGAATTAATTGAATGGCTAATCGCAGTGGAGAAGAAGAGCATAATAAACCCAGAGCTATGGCAAGCGTGTGCCGGCCCTCTGGTCAACATGCCGGTCGCCGGGACCCACGTCGTCTACTTCCCTCAAGGCCACAGTGAACAGGTCCTTTTTCTTATCATGATTTATTATAGTAGGTTCATTTAACATGTCTTAAGACCTTATTTAATGGAATTAATTGAATGGCTAATCGCAGTGGAGAAGAAGAGCATAATAAACCCAGAGCTATGGCAAGCGTGTGCCGGCCCTCTGGTCAACATGCCGGTCGCCGGGACCCACGTCGTCTACTTCCCTCAAGGCCACAGTGAACAGGTCCTTTTTCTTATCATGATTTATTATAGTAGGTTCATTTAACATGTCTTAAGACCAGTGCCCACAGTAAAAGCATGGTCTGACTGGTGACGGACCGTGCCCTGGTTCTTGAGGGTGACAAACAGGCCTAGTCGCTCTTGGCCTCAGTTCGTCCCGGCTTGGTCCCATAGGTCGACCGGACATCACTCGTGAAATTACGAGCTGGCTTGCTTTTGTGACAGAGACAATTGCTTTGCTAATTCTGTAGCATAGTTGATCACATGCATGGTTTCCATTATTTATTAGTATTTATTTAGGTACATCGCTCCTAACTTTTATGATCTGTTATTTGGATTAAATAACCAGATCGTATGATCTGGAAAATTGAGTGCCTTTTGATTTTGTCAAAGGTTAACTAGGAAGAGATATATATTGGGCCATGTTAACTTGCCCACTTGTGCTGCGTTGGGTTGGTTGCTTGATAAGGTTAGAGAGGATACATTTATTTCGTAGTGTTCTGAGACAGAATGACAGCGAGACTTGAACTCGACTAAAGTTATAATTTTTGGATAAAATATCTTAGCAAAGCTAAATAAGATTGTAAATTTTGAATGTATAATACACGTTACTGAACAAATGTATAGTGCAATACTATTATCGCAAGTGAAACTGCTCGAGAAATTTACATTTGGTATATAAAGTTGCATTTTCAGGTTGCTGCATTGATGAAAAAGGACGTGGATGCACAAATTCCGAGCTATCCAAATCTTCCTTCGAAGTTACTATGCCTTCTTCACAATATCACTTTGCTTGTATGCTGCCTGGCTTCTTTCATTTTTTCTTCAATAACTTGATAATTTTTACTCAATCCATGTCAGTAATGACTATTATTTGTGTGAATTTTTAGGCTGACCCGGAAACAGACGAAGTTTATGCGCAGATGACGCTCCAACCAGTTCCTTCGGTGGGGATCTGTTTTAACTAAAGAGTTGATAGTGTAGTGAAACTTCATTCTCTTATTTGCATCTTTGCAAGTCGAGTTTAAGAGAAATAAACAGCCCCTTGAATTCTTTTATATAATGTGAGAAACTTGGCTGACCTAATACAAAGATATGACTGACCGGTATACCTGATAATTGAAGTAGGTTGATACATTAGTGGTTGAGGGGATAAGTGAATAATATTAAGCTCTGCAGAGTCCAATATAGAAAACTGACTTTATGTTTGTCTGCTGTGCAGTTTGACAAGGATGCTTTATTTAGATCAGATCTTTCAATGAAAGCAAATAGACCTCAAATGGAGTTTTTCTGCAAAACCTTGACTGCAAGTGATACTAGCACTCATGGTGGTTTTTCTGTACCTCGCCGTGCAGCAGAAAAGACTTTTCCTTCTCTGGTTCGTAAGATGAATCATCATTCTTTCAGAATCCTCTTCACTACTTCCATCTTTTTATTTACAGCTCATGTAGAAGAATACTCATTTATTTAGGATTTCACAATGCAACCACCTGCTCAAGAGCTTGTGGCTAGGGATTTGCACGATCATGTATGGACATTTCGCCATATTTACAGAGGTTCGTTAATTCCCGTTGCTACAATACAGCTACTGGTAGAGTTCCATCTTCCTTTAATGTTGCAATTTGTAATATCTCAGGACAACCAAAACGTCACCTGCTTACGACTGGATGGAGTCTTTTTGTCAGTGGAAAGAGGCTTTTTGCAGGCGACTCAGTTTTATTCATTAGGTAATGATGTAAGCTTCTGAAAGAATTCTTTTCTTCTTTCCCTTTTGTACCTTTAATTAGTCTTTGTCCAAGGAATGGTATAACCAATGTTCTCGTTCTCCTGAACAGGGACGAAAAGCAGCAGCTTCTGTTGGGCATCAGGCGGGCAAACAAACAACCTACCAACTTATCGTCATCAGTATTGTCAAGTGATAGTATGCATATCGGGATTCTAGCAGCAGCATCTCATGCTGCCGCAAACAATAGTCCTTTCTCTGTGTTTTACAATCCAAGGTCATCAACTTTTCTTAATTCTTGTGGAATGATCTGTTCATGTCATGAACGTTTGGTGTAGACAATGTTGCTTGAACTTTCTTGCGGCTCATCCGAGGTTATTGAGATGTTTTTCTAATCTGAACAGAGCTAGCCCATCAGAATTCGTTATCCCTTTAGCCAAGTACTATAAAGCAGTTTGCAGCAACCAAATATCACTTGGCATGCGCTTCCGTATGATGTTTGAAACTGAGGAATCAGGAATAAGAAGGTAGCGAAAGCAACGTTAATATGCTGTATATTACTTATATTTGTATAAAAATACCGTCCACTCATCTAAGTTGATGCTTTCTACAGATACATGGGCACAATTACTGGTATCAGTGATTTGGATCCAGTCAGATGGAAGAACTCCCAATGGCGTAATTTGCAGGTAAAATTAGTGCAATACACCGTCCTTCGCAAATATTTACTCCCACCTTTCAAGTAGATAAACTATCTGTAACCAGGTCGGATGGGACGAATCAACTGCCAGAGAAAGGCGCAATCGTGTCTCTATTTGGGAGATTGAGCCTGTTACTGCTCCATTTTTTATCTGCCCCACCACACCTTTCTTCTGTTCGAAGAGCCCAGGGCAACAGGGAACTCAAGGTAATTGAAGAAAGAGGATGCAATAAGATGATTCATTTATCCATTCAGAAAAGAGTAATATTTATTGTTTCTCCTTGCAGATGATGACTCGTCTGATCCCAATAATCTAGTCAGGCGGACGATGCCCTGGCTTGGAGAAGACTTCGGCATGAAGGATCCTCCAACTCTGCCAGGCCTGAGCTTAGTTCAGTGGATGAATTTGCAGCAAAAGCCCTCTCTGGCTAACTCGATGCAGCCGAACAGTTTAAATCCTTTATCCAGTTCTATTCTGCAGAACTTTTCAGGTGCAGATCTTTCGCATCAATTAGGTTTCCCTGCACCTCAACACAACAATTTACAGTTCAATACCCCAAGGCCAGCCCAACCCATACAACAACTAGATCAGCTCCAAAAGCCCCCGGCCTCCACATTGAACCCACTGGCGTCGATTATACAGACACAACAGCAGTTTGCTGACACTATGCAACCACCAAGACAAAATGTAATGAATCAAAATTTACCAACAAGCCAAGTTCAGGCACAACTTCTGCAGTCACAGAATCCGACCCAAGCGCAGAACGCTATGCAGCAGCAACAATCCGTTCTTAATAATCAGCTTCAGAGAAGTCTTCCTCAAAATTTGCCTCAACAGCAGCAGAATCCGAGTCATGTCCAGCAACAGGATTTGATGTCATTTCAATCCCTGGATCATGCAAGTGAACAGCTTCATGCACCTGATAACCAAATACAGCTTCAACTTTTACAGAAACTCCACCAGCAACAACAATCACTTTTAGCACAGCAATCTGCAATATCACAACCTTCCGAACTGACACAACACCAGGATCAACAGAAGCTGCCTTTAGACGTTTCCCAGAAATTTTCTTGGTCTATGACAGACCAACTACCAGAGGCATCTCAATCAAAATCGACTATGCTCCCACAGTCGCATGTTATCCCGCAGCAGGTGACCAGAAATAATAACCAAACCAATCTCCAGTTTGCCCATCCAAAACTTCAGCAACATCAACAATCTGGAACACAATCAGAATTGCCTGGATTTGGGGGAAACACTTCCACCCCAATGAACAACCAGCTTTCTGCAGGGGATGGCAGTTTGTTAAAGGGAGCCGCTGGTCTAGGTCAATCTGGGATTACTGATGAGGTTCCTTCTTGTTTGACTTCACCATCTACTAACAGCTGTCCAAGTGCAGTTCAGTCTATGATGGATGGCAGAAGCAACCGAAGCACAATAACAAGGGACGAGATGGCTCAGTCCACTCTGTTGAGATCAACTGGTGTAAAGAACATTTCTTCTAATGGTAATTTAGTTAAAGATTTGCAGCAAAAGCCTGACGTTAAGCCTTCGGTGAACATATCTAAAAGTCAGAACCAAGGATGTTTTGCAACACAAACATACCTCAATACTGCTGGAACCCATATAGATTATTTGGATAGTTCATCTTCAGCAACATCGGTTCTTTCTCAAAACGATTTCCAGACACAGCATAACAACTCAGCTTCTTTCAATTCTCAGTCAATATTGTTTAGAGCCACAAGTCAGGTCAGGGAACTTCAGGGTGATCGAAGGAACAGCAGCGTTCCGTTTGGGGCTAACAATGGCAACCAGTTAGGAATGCCCATAATACCTGACCCATTGATCACAAAATCTATGGTGGGATCAGGTGATTGCTCGAATAATCTCTCGCCTGGAGGAGAGATGGTTTCCACTTATGAAAACCCCAAGGAAACTCATCCTGAACTTTCATCATCAATGGTTTCCCAGTCATTTGGAGTTCCAGATATGATACTCAACTCAATTGATTCCACAATAAATGATAGCAGCTTCATGAACGGAGGAGCGTGGGCTCCACCAACACAGATCCCTCGAATGCGAACATATACAAAGGTTGCTTTTTTATGCTCTATGTTACAAAGACGTGAATATATTTAATTCTTATTCTGTTTTCCTATGTTTTGAGGCCTAACTTGGCAAGTTGTTACTGTGAAGGTGTACAAGCGAGGAGCAGTCGGCAGATCAATCGATATTGCACGTTACATGGGTTATGCAGATCTTATACAAGATCTGGCTCGCAGATTCGGCATAGAGGGACAGTTGGAGGACCGGCAGAGAATCGGTTGGAAACTCGTGTATGTGGATCATGAGAATGATGTCCTGCTTGTTGGGGATGATCCTTGGGAGTAAGTCTTGAAAACCATCATATTCATTTCAACTTTCTTTATCAATTTGAAGAAAAATATATGCTTAAGTTTCAGACCAAGATATCACGTAGTTAGTTATAAGTTCTGTTTTCTTTTACTTCAAATTTTTGTTCAATATTCAAATGGTTGCTTCTTGGGTAAATTGCCAATGTTGTAATAAATATTCATGGTCTCTGTTGGTTTTCAGGGAATTTGTGAACTGCGTACGTTGCATCAAGATCCTTTCACCTCAAGAAGTCCAACAAATGAGTTTGGATGGAGATTTTGGGAACAGCATCCTTCAAAATCAAGATTGTAGCAGTTCAGACAACGGTGTAAATTAACTAATAGTTCCCACTTTGGAACATAACAATGATACGCAGTAGCTGTAGAAGTTGGTTACTCTCCAAATTTCTGCAATTTCCGGGTTCTGCTGTAACTCATCCAGGGATTAATGCGTAACAGCCACACGAGATCAAGATATAAGAACGCACACTGATACCACAGGCAGAGGTTGTTTTTGGTAGTAGGGACAACCAGTTCTGTTGCAGATTAGAGCTTTTGGCAGGAAATTGCTTGTTATGAGAATAATCTGACATTTTTTTTTCCCCTCTTTTTCGTTTTTCTCATGTAAAGAAATTATCGCCACTAAAGTACATTGTACTTGTAGCAAGAAAGAGCTGAAATCTCTGTGGCGTAATTTCCTAGCGTACGGACATGTATCCATTTTTCAGTCAATGAAATCTCCCCAAAATGAGTTTCAGGCAAGCGGCGGCATTTATTTCTTCTTTTTCTTTTCGGCTGGTAGCTCAAATTTGTTTGATAAGCATTCTCAGATTATCAAGTGTGTGGTGCTTATTTGTAAATAAAAAGGATTCCATTTTCATCCTTCGAAACTTCGACGCCTTTGACTATGATCTAAAAAAGGAAAAAAAAAATTAATACTCCCGTGGTTTCCATCATACCCGTTATCAGTATACACAACTTCAATGGCCAGAACACTACTGTTAATGTGCACATCTTCTATCTCCATAGTGGATGTATTTCTAATTAAAGCCAAAAGTTGGTAATGAAGGGTCTCTGCTTTATGCCAAGTTGCAAATCGAAGATATTGGACACAATCAAGTTTCAACAATTGAAACAGAAATTTGATGCAAGAAAGAGCAAAATGCTTCAAGAGAAAAAAAAAAAAAAAAAAAAAAAAAAAACATTACAGTCATCCCATGCAATCTGAGTGTTTCCAACGACCAGTTATGTCTTAACATTTTGGCCAAGCAAAATCATAATCTAACTGACCATTGGATCAGGAATGCCTGCCGATAAAATATCTAACAGTGAGTTCTGAGGCTCCAGCTCTTCATGCCACAGAGGCAGCTTGTCGCATGGGTAAAACTTCCTCGTAACCCCTTCTGAGTTAATCTGCGATTACAAAAGATAATAAGGTTTACCTTAAAACTTACTTATTTACTTGTGAGAATACTTTTAAAGCGTGGCCAAACACGCTCTTATCTATTCATCAGCCAAAATGTACACTACTTCACAGTAAAGAAAAAATTGACTCAACAAGAATAAAGGAAAGATCTAAGTTCATGTCCAGCATCAACATCAAGAGACTGCAGGGCATTCACCAGGTGGAAGATATATAATGCATAAACAATAAAGCTAACTTACAGTCACAGTCCGAACAACACCACCACTAGCACCATCACGAGCAATAGCAAGAGAGACTGCCTTCACCACTAATTGCTGAAGGGACAAAGGAAGACGCAAAATTAGCTGTCCGACAATACACATGCTAATCATGCCCACAGTTACTGAAATATCCATAGACCAATAAGGAAAATAATTTGGATATTTTTCCGTAACTTCCTATGAATACAAGATAGATCTGAGGAAATCTTAATCATATGATGGAAACCACAAAGATCAGATATTTGAGCTTCGAAAGCAACCCCTTCCAGGCAGAGGTTCTCTGGAGGCGACCACCCCTCTCACACAGAATAGATAGATTAACCGATGTACCCACAGATGAAACATAAATTATATACTTGTTCAAACAGAATAGTTGGAAACTACTAGACTCTGCAACATACTCCAAAGGATATGTTCCTGGACCCTCATAAGTAGGAAATCTAATAATATTGGACATAAATATAAATTACAATAGACAAACCTCAGCTTCCTCTTGGGTCATCCCTTCCTTCCATGCCTGGTCAAAGAACCCGTACAAATACGAAGAGCCAGATCCTAATGTCAAACAGAACAATTATCAGGAATTGTTTTCCTCAACCATGAGACGAATCACTTACTAATTAGTTTGTGACTTGAATAATAAAAAGTCAAAAAATATATTGAGATGACATCTGACAATGTCATTGGACAAGCAAGACAGTCACCCTTTAGATGATGGAAAACTAAGACGCCGAATAGGAAATGTGTACCAGAATGTAAATCATTAATTTAAAGCAAAACCAACAGAAAATTATCAATAAAAAGATCCTTAGAAAGTCTCTACAAAGGATGGGGATATCTGTCTTATCCAAGAGTAGCAGCATCCTTGTTCTATAGTGAGCACTAGATCCCCCCTGGTTGTGGGTCAATCAGGATAAGAGAGATGGGTGGAAAACTGACAATCTTAAGTTTGGACTCAGTCAGGTCTAAGAAACAATTTTAATTACTTTGAGAAGTTTCACTGTATATGCAGTCACACACAATATCTATTTAGGGATAAAAATATAGTTATTACATAAGTCAATACTCATATGTGTTCCTATTATCCTCGAAATATGACAAAAAAAATTGAAAGGGATTTTAAAAAAATGGTTCAACTACAAACAACATTTACATTGGTTTAAAAAAGAGCTGGTTGTGGTCTAGACCTGGACCAACCCAATGGAAAGCTCCTTCATTGAAATTTACAACTACCAAAACTTGGTTAAGATTACATTAGTTGCAATTATAATTCCTGTTTCCTAAAACCAATTTACTACTTCCACAATACCATCTAACACTGTCGAAATCCAGAAAAAATAAATAACAGATATTTGGTTCAAAAACTTTATAAACAACAGGGCATATCAGTAAGCTAAAGCAACAAGCTTGATACCAGTTGAGAAAGAATAAGACTGCTGTTGGTAAAACAGATAGGAAATTTCCAAAAGGCTAGGCAAAGCTAACAAATCGTGAAGTTACAGTGTGACTCTATAAGCAAAGGATAGGAAGATCACACCTCCAATAGCAAAAGGTTGCTCCAAGATAGTCCCTCCTAGAGGTATTCCATATATTTTACCACCTTCATATTTGTCCCATCCACCAATAATGAGACCAGTTTGCAGCATATTCTGCAAAGTCAATACAGTAGTGGATTTTCTATCAAAAAAAAAAAAAAAAATTGGAAAAAGGAAAAATAATACTACCTCCAACACATTGCTCAGACCTATTAAAAGGCATAGCATAGTAACCATTTGTATGTATATTTTCTCCATATAATTCCCCAAGAAAGTTAAATACATTCAAGGAAGCATTAGTTAGAGAAAACTGAATACTTACATATAAATTATGTTTGTGTTTCCTTATAAGTTACTTGTAGGCTGCGTTTGAGCCCCATTGTTTGAGAATTAGATTTTGTAATGGTGATATTTTTTTGAAGAATGTGTGATTAACAAATAACAAGAGGGAATAATTTTGGATTTACATGTAAAATAATTTTATTGGGAGAATGTATGGTCGAAAATTAGTTTGGAAAAAATGAATTTTTGGATAATGGAGCTTAAACAGGAGCATAACGTAAAGTCAAAGTCAAACTTTAATTTTGATTGCACATTCACAACTACTATCCACTTATTATTTATACATTAAGTGGGACCAATTATTTTTTGCATTATAAGGAGATTATAAGTAACTTATTAGTTACCCAAACACATTCAAAATCTGTAAGAACGTCCCATATTTTGTATTTTTTAAAGTTGCAAGATAACTGACACTGTAGATTCTTCAAATAGTAAAAGATAACTTCAGCTAAAGTAAAAACAATAAAACAACTGAAGTAAGCTAATTCAACTGCGTAGTGAGAAATTGATATAGGAACTAGGAAGAGCAAAGAACTGGTAGTGCCTCTATGTTTTGAAATTATGTTACAATTCTAAAATAAAATAAGATAAGCCAACTTTTGTCAAAATAAAATCTAGAGCTTGTTCGGGAGAGATTTAAAATCATTTTTTTCCCAAATCATATTCAACCACACATTCTATGGGACCCATAACATTTTCCTACCTTTCAACCACACATTCTCCAAAAAAAATAATTTTTCCACCTGAAAATATCTCTCCAGAAGAAATAGTTAATATTACAGCAGATATTTGCGACCCATTTCCATCTTTTTCAAGTTCACGGTCATACTACTCCCTTCTAAATTTAACTTCATATTAGTTTAAGTTGGCAATTAGTGATGAAGGAAGCAAGAGAAAATACAGTGTTTGCAGTACTACTAAAAGGAGAAGTTAGAGGTATGAATTCTAATATTCAAATTCAAGTAGCTCAATTAATTGCATATGAAAAAACCAGTGCAATAAACTTCACGTTACAGAATTTTGAACTCATACTACATTTTAATGTGAATATAGACTGAATTTTCTTTCGAGAGTTATTACTCATTGTAAGTTTACAAGGGAACCATTGTTGAGAAACTTTATACCCTACAATGATATTATCTCTAGCTTATATCAATTAAGAGAAGGTGGTCATTTGAAATACTGCATTTGTCCCTTAAAAACTTTTCTTGCACAAAATAACTTTTCGAGGAAAATATTTTAACAATAAAGAACTATTTTCTTAATCTTAATATTCTTACTGCCATTTTGAACTCAGTTATTGAATTATTTTCTCCTTTAGTGGACTAGCTACTGAAGGTATTGACAGACGATGAAAAAAAATGGAAGCGGAAACTATGCATTTCATGTCTTCTTCTGTCATCTTATAGAGCACCCAACCATGGTGCAGCACATATCTGTTATCACTCTTGTGGTAACCGGCGTACAAAACCAAATAAAATTTCAAAAGTGCGAGATATGGTCATAGAGATAGTATCCACCACTCAATATTAATGAATTCAGATATCTAGTGTGTTTGAGCCCCATTCTTTTCGAAGAATGTATTTTGGAATAGTATATTGACGAAGAATATGTGGTTAAAAAAGAAAGAAAAGTTTTTGGTTTGCGTGCAACATTATTTTAATGAAAAATATGTGGTTAAAAAGAAGAGAGAGAGAAATGTATTTTAAGAAAAATGAGAATCAAACACCCCTTCAATTTGCACATACTAAACTAACAAAATTGATAAGAAAATGACTAATGAGGCTGACATTTTTCACCCTGGTGAAATCAGTTTTGAACCTGCAGAGTCTATGTAGATTTCAGACATTTTAAATAAAAAATTACACAAACCTTGTTGTTGTAAGACAATAATCTGACAAGGTTTGCAGCAACCTTGACGGTTGAAGGCTGCCCAAGTTGTATCCTGCATCAACAAGTATGCCATCACAATTCCACATTTTATGTAAATTTATCTGAAACATAAGTTGAGAATATTTCTCTGCTTAAAATTACTAGATATAATCTTGGTACCACCAAAAACCAGTAAGCTAGTCCAAAAATGTAACAATTTCTTGGAAAATAAACTATCATGTAAAAGACTATTGCTTTCTTTCAGTGGATGCAAGTTAGGGCAGAAAAAGATAAATCAATTCGACTTTGGGGAGTGCTAAAGAAGTTGACACCATGAAGGTGGTTGAAAAGAAGATACATCATAGGAAAGGAAAAACTATGATTTACTTCTGGAACCTAACAGTGCATGCCGCATGCCTTATTTACAGTAATATTTAGCTGATGTCATTACACAATGAAAAACTGCAAGTGGAAGGCAAAGTGATAGTAATGCAGGAACATCTACTTACGTGTGTTGATGGAGAAAGTAGCGGACATAATCAGAAACAATCTGTGAATCTGCAGCCTGACAAAGTGACATCGTAAAATGTGTTACTCAAGAAAAGGAATACACATACACACGCAACATTTTGGAAAAAGAGGAGATTGTTCAACTAATTGGTTCCAGCTTGCTCCACTATTTAAGAGTTTTCTCTTTAATTTTATGGTTACATGCCTACTGGAATTATCTCTGACAAAATTTGCGAGGTAAAGTAAGTCGATATCCTCAACCTAGACTAAGAAAAAATAAATCTAAAACCTGCTCTTTTAAGAGAATCATGGTTTGTCTTATTATGCCAGTGAAATCTAAAAGCTTCAAGAATTTGATTTGATTCACAGCTAGAAAGCCACACATTTGGCAACTATTTTCCTGGCTGCTTCAACCATATACATTTTCTAAAAGAAGGGCATTGACAGAAAAAAAAATTGAAGGATCTGACTGAGAGAACAAATACAATTAGAAATCAAATAGAAAGAATTACAAAAGAGAAGGATAAAATCAAGGAAAGCAGGCAAGTCGAGAGAATTGTGGTTTATTTTCATGAAGGGCAGGACAGGCCATTCCAGAAGTAACCTGCATATTTGAGGCTGTGTGATGTTAAAACTTGATATTAAGTTGGTGGTGGACATGAAATGTGTTGTAAAAATAGTGGATAAAAGTTGTGGATCCAATAAAATATGGTTAAAAATGAAATTTGACCAGCTCTTTAGCAAATAAAAGCTTTACTAAAAGAGTAATGTGTTAAGAGTATCTTTATTGTAAACAGTAAAATATAATCCAGACGTTCCTGGCAGGTATGTTTAATAGATTGTTCCATGCATGGTTCACTATGCACAAACATTAGAACTCCTCTCAAATTTTGAGCGTGTTAGGGAGCGCAAAAAAGCTCCTTAAGTAGAACTCTTGAGTACATTTTTCTTTTGGTATTTTCTTCTGTTATGAAATCTAGCTTCAATGGCTATCAAGCATACTTTCTTCATTGAGAAAATAAGATTCGAAAAGAAAGGAATATTCAATTTAAACCCAAACTACAGCTAGCCCTAAACGTAGTGAAACAAAAAGAAAAAGGATAAACCCATGACATTTTCAGATTTCCCCTAATCGCTTTTCACATTTAAACCTAAAAATAACATTTACATTCCCCGTAAACACGACAAACAACAAAAGCCAGTTATGTAAGTTCGTACCGAGCCTGAACGACACAGGTACACATTATCAGTCAACTTCGTGATTTTATCCGATGCCCTGTTCGCCACATACATTCCTGCAAAATTCAAATCCAAAATTTCAAAATAACACAAAACGCGAAACTTAAATCAGATATCTTATATACTAACATCACAAATTAAATTTATTTGAAAAGGAAATAAATTGTTGAAAATGGAGTTACCGGTGCTGGTGCGAGAGTCGGCTCCGAGAACAACCCCGCCGTTGTAGGTGACGCCGATGATTGTGGTACCCATCGAGTGGGGAGCATCGATATCGCCTGTGCTCACGTCCATGATGTGGTTCTGTGCGGATCGATCGATTGAACTAGAATTAGAGTAATTTAGCAGAAGAAAACCTTGAATGAGAAGGGGATGAGTAAAAGCACTGTAAAAACAAAGTTTTCGTGCAGACGAAGCAGCAGGAGGTGAATAAATGTAAGAATTAACAGTTTGGTCCCCCATGTTTAGGAAATAATATTAATTGGCACATAACTTTTAAATTACAGTAAGTTACTTTTGGGTGAATTGTATTTTGCCCCTTCGAAGAATATTTATTACGGAATTCTCACCAAAATGTGCAATTACGAATGTTCTCCTCCGAGCTTTGAGTAAAAACTGACCCCAACTGGCCAAGTCGACCTAATAACTTATGAATCGACTGTCTAAATTAATTAAACAAGACATTGATCCACGAAAAATTATATTGACTCAATAAGCCGATCAATCGAACTGAAACGAACGATTGAATCAACTCATTAATAATTTTGATTCTATCGATATATGTTGCTCAATAATAGCTCATGTTTGGTAGGGATCTTTTGAGAATAAAGTATGGGAAAAAAATGATACTCTGAAAAATGTGTGGTTAAAAAAAAATGAATTTACGTGCAAAATTATTTTATTCTAATAATGTGTGATTACAATTATATTTAGCCACGACTCTAATAAAATGCAGTTTTGTGATAAGACCCTGTTTGAGCCCCATTATTTCTTCATTAAAATAAAAAACATAATCATTATCTATCACATCAAGTCATCATATTTGATTTTTTATCTCTTATGTGAAGTCCATAATAACTATATTTTACATTCTCATTTTTACAATAATGTGGCTCAAACAGGAGCTTAACTATTTTACACATCCCTATTTGTTTCCAATTTTTCTGCCCAATTTAAATTCATTTTCGAACCGTTGCCCCACTATCAGCTGTGATTTTTGATTTCTTCTCTCACGATGGATCCCGTATGCCGGTCAAACACCGTCAAAAAATGCATTATTTTCTTCAAACAATTGGAAACAAATGGGTGCGTAATTATTGTAATTATTTCATTGTATATCTAAAAACAATATGGATATGTAAAATTGAAATTTACTAACAGTTGAACCAAATACTCAGTAGTCGACTTCTTTGCGGAGGTAGTTTGGTTCGATTTTAAAACTACGGTTTTGACAAATTATCAAAATCCAAAATTCAATTTGTTTCTCGTAACACACTTGAAAATAATCTGAAATAACCTTTTTAAAAAAAATCAATTTCTATCTGTTAAGTATAATAAAATCAATCATAAAGTGTGGCTAAAATGTATAAATCTTGATTAGACGATAAAGTCAAATTTCAAATTTTAGATGTGAAGCCAGACGAAATTTAAACCAAAAAAAAA